TCTTTATTTATTTTTTTTTTAATTAATTAGGAGCCTTTAATCCATTCAGTAGGCATTTGGCCATCAGAGCTAACCTTCTTGCATAAACTACTGTTTTTTTCCTCTGATGTTGCACTCATGAAAAAATAGGATTAAAAGTATTTTTAATACACATGTAGTTAAGTATGAAGCTCTCATTTACTACTATGTTTTAGTATTTTTTTACTATTAAGTGACTTGCAGTCATGCAGCTTATGGACGAACATCACGGAAACATCCTGGCCTGCGGCAATCCGTTACTAACACCATCGGACCGTGACGCCTAAATTTTAATCTTTTCAAGATACCTTAAAATTCAGGCTTTATTTTAGCATGCAGCGGTTGGAAAGTAGAAGATCAAAGAGGTCTTAATCTCCACAGCACAGAAATAATCAGAAATGTTTGCTTGGGTGTTTTTATTTAAAAAAAACAACAACCTACTGGTTTAGCTGGACCAAAAAAATCATGAAAACAACCTACAAACAGAAAAACATTGCAGAAGAGTAAAATACTAAGATTCTAAGAAATGTCAGAGAGAATTGTCTGTGAAACTAACTCACCTACCTCTTATTGCTGTTAAAATAAACATCTCTCCATGTATATGTAGTTTTCTACAGAAATCCTGTTTTATTCACTGAATATAATAGAACAAACAATTATTTGAAATCTAATCTTCACTGTTTAGTATCTGATTCTGTGTTTTATTTGTTTATTTGATTTATTCAAAACACAGTTCTAAAATAAAAGCAATTAAATTTTAATCATACACATGATTCATCAAATAAAGAAGTTTTTCATTCACCACATAGATTTTTCTAACTTGTACTTACATATAATTAACAGTAGTAGTAGACAACCTCCACACAGATATGCAAAGACCAAGGCCGAGTGACATGCCTGGGCAACTTCTTTAAATACAGTGATCAGTAAGGACCGAGGAACTAGGTTATGGTCCCAGTGTACCTGAAGCAAGATCCCTTTCTTTCCTACCTGCTTCCAGCAGTTCTGGACCTATGAACTATTACGCTGTGTGATACTGAAACTCTAAGTCCCATTTAGCCTACTAGCCAACTCTGATTCTGACATTCTGATATTAAGACACTGTTCTCCCAGTATAATGTATGAGCTTCCGACAGTGATTTTTAAATTCCCACTTCTCCCCATGCTTTATGTTCCATTCCTCTTAGCATATTAGGCCACCAGTATCAGCAATAAGAGGCCTAAGCACATTCAGGTCACTGTTTTCTAACATAATACTTTCTCAATATATGCAAGTTTATATGCTGACACTGCCAATTCTCTTACCTCAATCTCAAAAAAATCAGTTGATATCCACTGCAGAACATTTAAACCTGAACAGTTTTAAAACACTGCACAGTGAAAACTAACCAACATGGTATCAGTAACAAATGCCAAAGCAGCCATATCGCATAAAATGAAAAGCCTATCTACCCACGGATCTTGTTCCCAGCAAATGTTGAAAGTGGATATACAGAGAACTGTTTAAATATAGCATGAAATCTTTGCTTACTCTGACTAACCTACTTCCAAGAAGTTGCTAATCAAAAATTTCCAGAGTCAAGTGCAGTTCCTACGCTTCTCTAACAGATCTTTTTGCCAGTGTTGTTCAGTCCACCATGAAGAGTGAGGAGTTCATACTGTGAACAGAACCATCTCCCTCTGTTTGTATTGGGCCAGTACTGTTTAACACCTTTGTCGTCAACATGGACAGTGGTATCAAGTGCACCCTCAGCAAGTTCAGCAAGTTCGCTGATGGCACCAAACTGTGTGGTGTGGTCAACACGCTGAAGGGAAGGGATGCCTTCCAGAGGGACCTTGACAGGCTCGAGAAGTGGGCTCGTGCAAACTGCATGAAGTTCAACAAGGCCAAGTGCAAGGTTCAGCACCTGGGTCGAGGCAGTCCCATGCATGGGGGCTGGGAGGAGAAAGGATTGAGGGCAGCCCTGCAGAGAAGGGCTTGGAGGTGATGGTGGATGAGAAGCTCAATATAAGCCGGCAATGTGCGCTTGCAGACCAGAAAGCCAACCGTGTCCTGAGGTGCATCAAAAGAAGTTTGGCCAGCCAGTTAAGGGAGGTGATTCTGCCCCTCTGCTCTTGTGAGACCCCACTTGGAGTACTGTGTCCCGTTCTACAGCCCCCAACATAAGAAGGACATAGAGGTCCTTGAGCGAGTCCAGCGGAGGGTGACAATAATGATGAGAGGACTGGAGTACCTCTGCTATGAAGACAGACTGAGGAAGTTGGGGTTGCTCAGCCTGGAGAAGAGGAGGCTCCAAGGTGACCTTATAGCAGTTTTCCAACACCTGAAGGGAGCCTACAAGACAGCTGGGGCAGGACTTTTTAACTGCCATGTAGTGAGAGGACAGGGGGCAAAGGTTTAAAACTTGAAGAAGGGAGATTAAAATTATAGAATGACAGAATCATTAGCATTGGAAGAGACCTTAAAGATCAAGTTCCAACCCCCCTGCCATGAACAGGGAACTACTAGAGCAGGCTGCACAAACCCTCATCCAACCTGGCCTTAAAAACCTCCAGGGATGGGGCATCAACAACTTCCCTGGGCAACCCATTCCAGTTCCTCACCGCCCTTATAGTGAAGAACTTCTTCCTAATATCTAAGCTAAATCTCCCCTCTCTCAGTTTAAAACCATTACCCCTTGTCCTATCACAATCTCCTCTGATGAAAAGCCCCTCCCCAGCTTTCCTGTAGGCCCCCTTCAGGTACTGGAAGGCTGCTATAAGGTCTTCCCGGAGCCTTCACTTCTCTAAGCTGAACAGCCCAAATTCTCTCAGCCTGTCTTCACAGCAGAGGTGCTCCAGGCCTTTGATCATCTTCATGGCCCTTCTCTGGACCCTCTCCAACAGGTCTATATCCTTCTTGGGCCAAGGGCACCAGAGCTGTACATAGTACTCCAGGTGGGGTCTCACCAGAGCAGAACCTCTCCCTGGCCACACTTCCTTTGATGCAGCCCAGGATGCAGTTGCTCTCTGGGCTGCAGCACACACTGGCAGCTTATGTCAAGCTTCTCATCTACTACCACCTCCAAGTCCTTCTCCTAAGGGGCGCTCCGCAGACA